AAAGCCTAAAAGGATTTATCCCCATGGCTCTTGAAGACCCGTTTTTCTGGAAAATCAGTTCCCAGAAACTGTAAAAAAATAATCAAAGCGTTTTCTAATGAGGTATAATTGTAGCCCGAAAATTTCTGATTAAAATGAGACGTCTCCCAGCTCTACACTTCTTTGCAAAGTTATAGAATTTACAAGAAACGCCCTAAATGATCATTGCCAGCTCAAAGCTACAGAAATAAGAAGAAATCAATTTAGGGTATTTCTTGTAAATTCTCGAACTTTGCAAAGAAAGATCGTCTAGAGCTGGAAGACGTCTCATTTTAATCAGAAATATGCGGGCTACAATCATGCCTCATTAAGAAACGTTTTGATTATTTTTTGGAATTTCTGGAAACTGGTTTTCCAGAAAAACGGGTCTTCAAGAGCCATGGGGATAAATCCTTTTAGGCTTTTCACTATCTCGATATTGGCTATCGATTAATGTGTGTTTGAAAGAAATTGGGATTGGACAGCTGGGAATGTACTCTCGTTGTTTACTTAGCTAATAGTAACTATATTAGTTACCCGTTACTGATAACAGGTAACTGCATTAGTTACTTCTTTACTAGTAACGAGTAACTAAAGATAAAGTAACGCCCAATAACAAGTAAAGTGCCACCCCTAATTTTAGGTGATCGATATGAAAATGGACGAAAACATATTCTTGTTGATGAAGTTGATTCAATGTTATTAGATAAAGGAAATTGTGTTTTATATTTGTCACATCAGCCATCAAATTTAGATTCATTAGAATCTGTTTATATTTTCATTTGGCAAATGATTGTATTGAATGCAGTTAATGGAAAATATTCATCAATTTTGGAAATTAAAAAAATTGTTTTACACAATTTATATTCAATTTTAGATAAAAATGAATTATATAAATTAACAAAAAATTATGAAATAATTGAAGAAATATGGAATGAATTAATTGAAAATAATAATATTGATAATTTAGGTAAAATTTTATCATCTGAAAATATTAAATTTGAAAATGAAAATTTAAATGAATTTTTGAAACCACTAAAATTTTTATTTGATGAAATTATTAATTATGAAAAACGAATTCAAATACCAAATTATTTAAAATTATTTGTTGAACAACATTTAACTACATGGATTCAAAGTGGAATAAAAGCATTTGAAATGGAAGAAGGTCGAAATTATATTATTGATGTTGATAAAAATTTAACAAAATTAGATAAACATCCAAATATAATAATTATTGATTGTGATACCGGTGTTGATCAAATAAATAGTCAATGGAATGAATGTTTACATCAATTTTTACAATTAAAACATCAATGTAAAACATCATTGATCAATTTAAAAGCTGTTTTTATTTCAAATATAACATTTTTTAATATGTATACAAATATTTATGGTTTAAGTGGAACATTGGGCTCAGAAAGTGAACGTGAGTTTTTAAAAATAACATATGATGTTGATTTTATTACTATTCCCGTTGCATTAACAAGTAGATTCAAAGAATATCAACCAATTGTTTGTAAAAATATTGAACAATGGAGAAAAACAATTGTTGAAACAGCAATGAAAATAGTCACAGGAAAAAATAAACGATCAATTATAATTATTTGTGAAACAATTAAAGATGTTGAACAAATAAAACAATCGTTTAAACAATATTCTGAAGAAGAAGAACAACAAAACAAAGAGAGTAACAGTAGCAATTTTGATGATTGTCCCGATTCGTCTGAGACATATAATAACACTGAAACGAA